ACTCTGTGGGGGTGTTTCTGCATTTAAAAAAGAGGCCTGGTTCGGAGGCTGAGGCAGGTAGATCACTTGAGGTCTGGAGTTCAAGACCAGCCTGGCCAACATGGTGAAACCCCATCTCTACTAAAAATACAAAAATTAGTCAGGCACGGTGGCACGCACCTGTAAGTCCAGCTACTCAGGAGGCTGAGGTGAGAGAATCGCTTACACCCAGAGGCAGAGGTTGCAGTGAGCTGAGATCACACCATTGGACTCCAGCCTGGGTGAGAAAGTGAGATTCCATCTCCAAAAGATGCCTGAATTAAAATGAGGCAGGAGTGTAATGGTGAGGCCCTCCTAAAGCACAGCCTCTTTCACTCTCTGCAGAAGATGAGAAACCCATCAGAGCTATAGAACATCAGCTCAGATTGCTGAATGTCACACCTCAAATCAACAACAGGTCCAGAATAGAACTTGGAGCCTTGGCTACCCCTCCTGCTCTAGTCAGCACATGTCACTTCCTTACCCAGGAAGTTCTGCTGTTTTTTTTTTTTGTTTTTTTTTCCTAGGAGGTTTCCAACACTATTTTAAACTCTTTGGACTCAACAGGATTTGACTATGGTCATAGCCTTGGAATAGTGTGTAGGAGGCCTGGGCCTTTCTTCTAGCATCACACCTTTCTTTGAACGGTCTCAACAAGGCCCAGATTAATACATGTGGTAGAATGGGCCTATGACTTGACTTGTCTCTTAGTGATCCAGGAAGGCGGATCACAGATAAATTTCTAGGCTTTCCACATACAAGATCACAGAAGCAGATTCTTAAAGCTAAAAGCAGCCTAAGTATAATCACCTGACACAATGTGCTATGCTGACTATAAATCACAATTCAGCATGGGAGTTCTCATTATTAGGTACTCTTTGGCAGTATGTATGACTTCCCCAGCAAGACTCTAGGGAGCCAAGAGCACTAGCTCAGTCTGGGGTCTGAGAAGCCAAACACCCCTGGGGGAGGCAGGGTGGTGGAAAAGGCTGACTGGCAGCTTCAGCAGGTGGTATAAAGGGGAACTGAAGGTGAAGTCTAGGGTGAGGGAAGGACTGGTCCAGGCAGGATTACTCAACAGCATGTGCTCAGAGAACTGGGAAAACAAGAACAACAACAACAACAATTTTAAGTTACTTTATATTTATCGAAGTGGTAACCATGGTAAAAATCAGAATTTTGCTGCATTTTCTCTATATTTTGCTGGGTTTCTTTATACTTATTTTGCATTTAGGCTTTTTAAATACATACTGAGGGAGGAAAGTATGAGGGGCATCACAATTTTTCTATTGCTTAGGACTGTTAAAACAAATTCTTATTCTGGCCCCTGACTTCAGGAAGAAGCAAAGAAAACCAAGAGTTTGAAGCTTCCAGGTCAATATTCACTTCTTCATTCAACAAATATTTCTTGAGGAGGAAGAATCGGCTTTGCTCAATCCTGGGATAGAGCAGCAAACAAAAGAGACATGGTTCCTAGAGTTCAGTCCCGTGAGAGTGGATAAGAACAAGAACAGGATCTAAAGCCAAAGGTCTATATTGGAAAACAGGCAAGATTCCACAGCCACCAATGAAATGCCAACAGAAAAGCCCCGGGGCAGGCAAGAAGCTATTCAGGGAGAAGAGCTGGTCCAGAAAATGCTCTAATCCCTTCACTCACTTTGACAGGAGAGACAGCCATGGTGGTGGGTTGAATTTATCAATAAAAGTACCCTCACAGCCAGTGCCACCATGAAGGTGCCCATTCTCTGCTCATAGCCATGTAACTATAAGCTATGTGCAAGATCTTGAAAGCTCCAAAGAAAAACAGAAGCTCTGAATTGTCTACTACCAGAAATTCTAGAAGATATAGCAGGCCAGAAGTGGGAAGTATAAAACCAACTGCCAGATGCAACTGGGGGATCCTCCCCCAACACTATCACTACACTTCTGACACTGCATGAAAAGTAAAATAAAGACAGAATAGGAAAGGGAAAAAAAGAGGGGAAGAGGGATTAGAGAAGAGATCGGGGGTGAGATGGTCAGGCTACAGTCAGAAGCCTCCTAAGAGGAGTTTCTGATTTACCGTATGAAGCAGGCTATGGCCTGATTAAGTTATAAAAATGAGTCATTCCAGCAGCTCAGCTCAAGCACCCTCAGGAGGTGATAGCCATGGTAAAAGTGGAGAGCCAACAGCAGCAGCAGCAGGAGGTACAGAATCTATGCACAGCCAGCACAGTAGGGGCCTATAGAGACCTCGTATTTGACTTCTCTGAGCCTCAGTTTCCTTTATCTGAAAATGAAGATGGTAAGAGTGTGTATTAGTTACCTAGGACTGCCATAACAAATTACCACAAACTGGATGGCTTAAAACAACAGAAGTTTATTTTCTCACAATTCTGGAAGCTACAAATCTGAAATCCAGGTGTCAGTAGGGCCATGCTCCCTCTGAAGGCTCTAGGGAAGGATCCTTCCTTGTCTCTTCTAGTTTCTGGTAATTGCTGACAACCCTTGGAGGGCCAGAGCCGTTCCTTAGTTTGCAGCAGGATAACTGCAATCTCTACCTCCATCTTCATGTGACCATCTTCCCTCTGTGTCTCTCTCTTCTTATGACAACACCAGTCACTGGACTAGAACTCACCAGTAAAACTTCATCTCAACTTGATTATATGCACAAGGACTCTATTTCCAAATCAGTTCACATTCATAGGTTCTGGGAGAATGTGAATTTTGAGGGATACCATTCTACTCAGTACAGAGCACCAACCTTGTAAGAAGTTTATACCTGTAAGGTATTATTACTTAGGACCATGACTGGCACACAATATGTGCTATGTAAAGGTTGGCTACTCTTCTTCACCATCTCTGGCAGGTAGCTGCTGCCAAAGGGATATGTGGGTGTGTTCTGTTATATAAGAACCACCCTCCCTCCATTTTGAGTCAGAGGCAAGAAACTGAATTAAACTAGAGTTCTGAAATAAGCTGATTAGGGCAGAGCTAGAGCACCACAGGTTTATTACCATTCAGTACTCCTTATCAATATCCTACCAATACTCTCAACGTGGAATGAGAAAATACCTGCTGCAAGCACTTTTTTTTGAACAATACAGAAAGTATCATTCCAAATGAACAATGGCCCTTCAAAGCAGTACCCTTGATAGGATCTGCTTTGGAAGAGACTTCAGAGCCAGTTAAGAAGCTTCAGCAGAGAGACAGCAGTCTCATTACTTACAATTCAGACTGAATTCTGATCCGAAACTGCTCTACATAGTATATTCAACCCCAGAGTTTAGTGATGAAATGACTTTTGGCTGTATCCAAACATTAAATCCATTCTCTGAGATGGGATTTGCTATTTCTGAGGATGCGATATTTAAAATAGCAAGCCACTTTCAAATTAGGGAAGAGGAGAATAGATTGAGGGCTCCTGCTTCTCCTTCTTTAACAAATGAGTTTAGGATAGCTACCGAACTGAAAAAAAATACATGGCCGGGCACTGCGGCTCATGCCTGTAATCCCAGCACTTTGGGGGGCTGAGGCGGGCAGATCACAAGGTCAGGAGTTCAAGACCAGCGTGGCTAACATACTGAAACCCTATATATACTAAAAATACAAAAATTTAGCCAGGCATAGTGGTGGGTGCTTTTAATCCCAGCTATTAGGGAGGCTGAGGCAGGAGAATCGCTTGAACCTGGGAGGCGGAGGTTGCAGTGAGCCAAGATTGCACCACTGCACTCTGGCCTGGGCAACAGCGAGACTTTAAAAAAAAAAAAAGAAAAGAAAAGAAACACAGCCAGATCCCAACTACTCTCTTCATGTCCAAATAAATACCAGATGGATCAAAGATTTAAATTTAAAGATTAAAGATTTAAACACACACAGTATTCAAAAAGAACAAGTAACTATTTTTATAATTTTGAGGTGGGGAACGTGCTTTTTCTAAACATCGGTCTAGTAGCAGAAAAAACTATAAGGGAAGGGATTTTCTAACTACCTAAAAATGTAAAATTTGCACAAAGAAAAAAAGCTGCATAAACAAAATTGAAAAAAAAATTGACAAAATGGGAACAATTCCCTGTCATTTATGACAGTCAACATGTTAAAACTCTTACAAATTAATTTTTAAAATTATTAGAAAAAACGTGCAGGCAAGGTGCAGTGGTTCACCCCTGTAACCCCAGTGCTTTGGGAGGCCAAGGTGGGAGGATCACTTGAAGCCAAAGTTCAAGACCAGTCTGGGTTGCAAGAACCCATCATTACAAAAAAAAAATAAAAAATTAGCCAGGTGTGGTAGCAGGCACCTGTAGTCCCCAGCTACTCACAAGGCTGAGGCAGGAGGATCTCTTGAGCCCAAGCGTTCAAGGCTGCAGTGAGCTATGATCACACCACTGCACTCCAGCCTAGACAAAAAAGCAAGACCCTGTCTCTGAAAGGAAAAAAAAAAAAAAAAAAAGGTGCAAAAGTTATGAATAATTGATTTAAATAAAAAATATGAAGGTCCAGCCGGGCGCAGTGGCTCAAGCCTGTAATCCCAGCACTTTGGGAGGCCGAGGCGGGTGGATCACGAGGTCAAGAGATCGAGACCATCCTGGTCAACATGGTGAAACCCCATCTCTACTAAAAATACAAAAAATCAGCTGGGCATGGTGGTGCGTGCCTGTAATCCCAGCTACTCAGGAGGCTGAGGCAGGAGAATTGCCTGAGCCCAGGAGGCGGAGGTTGCGGTGAGCCGAGATTGCGCCATTGCACTCCAGCCTGGGTAACAAGAGCAAAACTCCGTCTCAAAAAAAAAAAAAAATACAAAGGTCCAAAACGCATTTGAAAATTCAACCTTTAATATTCAAAGAAATGAAAATTAAATCATACTTACTGAGTGCTATGTTTCAGTTACTAGTCTAAGCATTTTACTTGGATTTATTCCTCACAATAACCCCATAAAATAGGTACTATTATTATCCCTACTTTACCAAGATAAAATTGAAGGACAGAGAAGGTAAATGAATTACCCAAGGTCACACAGTTAGCAAATGGCTGAGTCAGAATTCAGCCCCCAGCAGGCTGGGTCCAAAGTCACATTCTTGACCACTGTGTTACAAGACCATGTCTCACCTGTCAGATGAGGAAGACAAAAACACACAACACCCAATGTTATTAAAAGTATGGGGAAACAGGCAATCTCACATGTTGCTAATAGAAGTTTATGTTCTCAAAGGTAGTTTGGCTCCATGAATTAACATTTTAAACATCCATACCCTTTAACTTGGCTTACGAATTTCTTGGAATTTATCCTAAAGAGACAGTGGAGTAGACAAGCATGCAAAGATGTATATACCAAGTGTTTAGCACAGAATGCTCATAATAATCAAAATATTGCAAATAAAAAGCCCAATGAATTAATTTGTTGGATATACCAAATATTCAACAAATTCATTCACTCAACAAATATTTATTGAGTATCAATGATGTACCAGAAACTGTTCTCAATACCAGGTATAGAGCATGGATAAAAAAGAAAAAAGGGTCGGGCATGGTGGTTGACACCTGTAATCCCAGCATTCTGGGAGGAGGGAGAACTGCTTGAACCTAGGAGTTTAAGCTTAGGCAACACAGTGAGACTGGATCTTTTAAAAAAAATTTAAAAATTAGCTGGGTGAAGTAGCACATGGCTGTAGTCTCAATTACCTGAGAGGCTGAGGTAAGAGGATCACTTGAGCCCAGGAGGTTGAGGTTACAGTGAATCCAGATCATGCCACTGCACTCCAGCGTGGGTCACAGAGCGAGACCCTGTCTCCAAAAAAAAAAACAGGGGAACACTCATTCTATGATATAGAATAAAATGCTGCCTGATTCTAGCATAAGAAGACAATTTTTAAAAGAAAAATATCTGTCTTCATGGAGCTTATATTCTAACAGAGGAAAGCTAGGCAATAAGCAAAAAAATAAGTATATAATATATCAAGTGATGCTAAATGCTATAGAGAAAAATACAGGCGGGGAGAGAGAGAAGAAATGGAGATTGTTATCTTGTTAAGTAAGGGAGTCAAAGGCAGCCCCATAGATAACAGATAAGATAAACAGATTAAATATTAGAGAATAATAGCAGTATGATATATCCACTCACTGAAATATCAGCCCTTTATTCTGTATTTATTGACATGAAAATGTCTTCAAGAGAAAAAAGATGGTAAAACAGTAACAAGGTACGACTACTCATATAAAGTTACATGTATATATATGCTCATATTCCAACTGGGAGAGTGGACCAACACATAACAAGATTAATAATACTGAGTAAGGGTCCAGGCTGAGTGCCAGGCAATAGTATAAGCAGTGTATGTGTTTACCCACCCATTCACTGATCTTCCTCCTAATACCTATACTTTCTTCCAGAAAGAATTTAAGGACAGCAAATCTATACACCTCCTCAAGTTCTTTATTTCTCTCATCCTTTCTCTCTTCTTCCCAGAAGCCAGGCCAGTGACAGTGTGAAAAAGGGATGTAAGGGTAGAAGGAAATCCCCACAGAATCTAGATGGAATTCCTCTTACTTCAACACATAGGAAACAGGTCCTGGGAGGCACAACTCCTCCCTGCACACCTGCAAGATTTGAAGAAAGGCTACCTGACTTAGAATCCCTATTTCATCCCCTACTAAACCCAAGATGCCCTGCAGGGACAGCTGGGAGCAAGACTGACTCATCATATGGCGGTGACAGGCCATAGGAGGCCAGAGCTCTACATTTGGCACACAAGGCCTAAATTGTTCTATGAGCAGAAATGACAGAGTCAAGCCCTTTTTGGCCCCTACCCTGTCCTCTCCTCCATGCCTGTACTCGTAAGCTATCCTGGGTAAATTAATCCATGCTCAATCCCCATATCTACTGCCTCACCTAGTTACCCCAGAGATTCACAGACTTCCCCACTAACATTCTCGAGACTAGGTCCCTACCAGGAAAGCTGCTTAGGGTGACCAGACATGTTAAGTTTGATTCAAATACTTTCAGTCTGGGGTGAGGGTAGATAGGGTTCAGATCTATCTGCTCTTAGATATGTAGCAACAGACTACACTTCTTGTTTGAGCATAAAGCCACAAACAAGGAACTGAAAGCTTCCCAAAGGTGAAATCCACGTTGTCGTCACCTGCATCTTTAGCCTGGGATGGGGAGTATGGGCACATGAGTGGAGGCAGGACACTTAGGGAAAGATTCAACTACTTGAAAATATTTCTCACATACTCTGTCATCTCTTGGACACCAACTATAAGCCAGGCCCTGTATTAAGTGCTTTCATATACTACTGGCAAAAAAAGCAAAATCACTTTTTTCTTTTTATTTTATATTTTGCAAATTTTATCAAACATTCCTACTGTGTGCTACTGAGTTTAAGAAGCCTAAAGTTGGCCATGTGTGGTGTTGCACACCTGTAATCCCAGCAAATCTCTTATGCTCATCACTAAAGGATATAAGAGATGCCTCCCACCTTCAAAAATTTACTCTATTAGGGAAAACAAAATCAACACATAAGAAATATATTATAAAAATAAGAGGGCTCCAAGATTTCTAGTACATGAAACAGGAAAACAAAGATGCTGGTAAAACAAATGAAGAAGTGGGTAAAGTAAGACAAATGGTGGGGTGTCCTGGTATACACAGCTATCTTCAATTTCAAATAACCAAATCTCTCCCTTTTAAAAGGTCCCATCCCTAGGAGAGGTATGTTTGACTTCAAGAAAAATCTCCAATACCAATATTTGAGACATAAAGTTGGGGATCATTCACGAGACAAAAAAGAGTCTCTTTGCTCTAAAGTTAACTAAGATATGATTTAACCACCCCTCAAACTATCCCTGTATTATACATACAAATATATACAATGTTTCTACCCAACTTTTCAGGATCACATTTATAAAATGAAGCAAAGTACTTTCAAAGGCTGGGTGCAGTGGCTCACGCCTGTAATCCCAGCACTTTGAGAGGCCAAGTCCAGTGGATCACAAGGTCAAAAGATTGAAATCATCTTGGCCAACATGGTGAAACCCCGTCTCTACTAAAAATACAAAAATTAGCTGGGTATGGTGGTGCGCACCTGTAGTCCCAGCTACACGGGAGGCTGAGACAGGAGAATCACTTAAACCCAGGAGGTGGAGGCTGCAGCGAGCCGAGATAGGGCCACTGCACTCCAGCCTGGCGACAGAGTAAGACTCTGTCTCAAACAAACAAACAAAAAGTACTTTTTAAAAACATTCAGGCCAGACAAGGTGGCTCACGCGTATAATCCCAGCACTTTGGGAGGCTGAGACTAGTGGATCACCTGAGGTCAAGAGTTTGAGACCAGCCTGGCCAACACGGTAAAACCCCATCTCCACAAAAAAATCAGCCAGGCATGGCGGCAGGCACCTGTAATCCCAGCTACTCAGGAAGCTGAGGCAGGAGAACTGTTTGAACCCAGGAGGCAGAGGTTACAATGAGTCAAGACTGTGCCACTGTACTCCATGCTGGGCAACAGATTGGAACAATACAGAGAAGACTGGCATGGCCCCTGAGCAAGGATGACACACAAATTCATGAAGCATTCCGTATTTTTATTTCATGTGGAATCAAAGAAGACCTCATATAGCCAAGACAATCCTAAGCAAAAAGAATAAAGCTGGAGGCATCACACTACCTGACTTCAAACTACACTACAAGACTATAGTAACCAAAACAGCATGGTACTGGTACCAAACAGACATATAGACCAACGGAGCAGAACAGAGACCTCAGAAATGACACCACACATCTACAACCATCTGATCTTCTACAAACCTGACAAAAACAAGCAATGGGGAAAGGATCTCCTATTCAGTAAACTGTGCTAAGAAAATTGACTAGCCATATGCAGCAAACTGAAACTGGACCCCTTCCTTACACCTTACACAAAAATTAACTCGAGATGGATTAAAGACTTAAATGTAAAACCCAAAACTATAAAAACCCTAGAAGAAAACCTAGGCAATACCATTCAAGATATAGGCGTGGGCAAAGACTTCATGACAAAAACACCAAAAGCAATTGTAACAAAAGCCAAAGTTAACAAATGAGATCTAATTAAACTAAAGAGCTTTTGCACGGCAAAATAAACTAAAATCAGAACAAAAGGCAACCTCCAGAATAGGAAAAAATTTTTGCAACCTGCTCATCTGACAAAGGTCTATACCCAGAATTTACAAGAAATTTAAACATATTTACAAGAAAGACAAATGACCTCATCAAAAAGTAGGCAAAGGATGTGAACAGATGCTTCTCAAAGGAAGACATTTACGCAGCCAACAACACATTTTTAAAAAGCTCAGGCCGGGAGTGGTGGCTCACACCTGTAATCCAAGCACTTTAGAGTCTAAGGCAGGCAGACCACCTGAGGTCGGGAGGTCAAGACCAGCCTGACCAACATGGTGAAACCCCATCTTAAAAAAAATTTTTTTAATAAAAATTAAAAATTTTAAAAAAAAAAAGCTCAACAACTGATCATCAGAGAAATGTAAATCAAAAACCACAATGAGATACCATTTCACACCAGTCAGAATGGCAATTATTAAAAAGTCAGGAGCCGGGCGCGGTGGCTCAAGCCTGTAATCCCAGCACTTTGGGAGGCTGAGGCGGGTGGATCACGAGGTCAAGAGATCGAGACCATCCTGGTCAACATGGTGAAACCCCGTCTCTACTCAAAATACAAAAAATTAGCTGGGCATGGTGGCGCGTGCCTGTAATCCCAGCTACTCAGGAGGCTGAGGCAGGAGAATTGCCTGAACCCAAGAGGCGGAGATTGTGGTGAGCCGAGATTGCGCCATTGCACTCCAGCCTGGGTAACGAGCAAAAACTCCGTCTCAAAAAAAAAAAAAAAAGTCAGGAAACAACAGATACTAGCAAGGCTGTAGAGAAACAGGAATGCTTTTACACTGTTGGTGGGAATGTAAATTAGTTCAACCATTGTGGAAGACTATATGGCGATTTCTCAAGGATAAGACCATTACTGGGTACATACCCAAAGGAATATAAATCATTCTACTATAAAGACACATGCAGGCCAGGCACGGTGGCTGACACCTGTAATCCCAGCACTGTGGGAGGCCAA